GTACTAAAAGAATGCACAAAAAGAAGAAGTAAAACAATATTGAAAGAAACTACTTCAGATGTTTAAGGATATATTCTTCATAAATACGTGTGTCCCTATGAATGATCAAGGATGTAACACAACCCAACAGTTTAGTCATAATAGTGCATGAAAAAGTTTATTCAAGTATCAAAAAGTCCTAACAATTACTTGTGATTCATGATGAGGCTAAGTAAATACATGTATTATCCCCAACACACCTTTTATTGACTACTATAATTTCTTTTACTCACTAAATCTTCTCTGGAAAGTCACTTGGGAAAACAAGAAGATGTAGTTCCCCAGATTGTATAATTTGGCAATTGGTTCTTTCCTTCCCTTACTGGAAAAAGCAATAATCCTACTGCATGAAGTCATTATTAAGGCATTCCAAACATACAAATGTTAGACAAAGTGATTAATTCTGAAGAGGACAAACAGCTATATCTAACAGGAATGTAAGAAACTGCAAACATAACCAAGGAACATCAGTGTATTCCCTGCTCTGAACTGTTAACTTCCAAATCAAGGGGGAAAAATTAAAAAAAAAAATCCCACTGCATTAATCGGTAGCAATTTTTAGTTTGGTAATTAGTCTCTGTTTTGATAATTGGAAGTTTAATCACAACCAGGAAGCCTAATCTCCCTCTAGCAAAACAAGGACAAAGTAGTATCAGAGCATTTTAGTCTTCTAGGACACTCTATGGCAGACCTCAAAGTGACTGCTTTGGAAAAATGAGACTTTATCAGCACAAGGGAGAGACTGCTGAACTCACATGTATCAAAAGGTTTCAGAAGGAGTCAACAATGAGATTTTAACACATTACAATTGTTAATTGATAAGGTACTTGTAATTCACATGTAACCTTCATCTGCATAGTCAACTATCTTCCCCTCCCTTTTCCCTTATTCTACATCAGTCTAGACACTCTATGCATCTGATGAAGTGCCCTGCAGCTCATGGCTCATGAAATCTGATGCCTTTTAATGAAATGTGTTACTGTAGTTGGAAAAGGTACTTCCAGACTGCTTCTGATTTCTCTGCCAACAGTTATGATAACACAGCAACTCTTCATTGTTTTCTCTAAAATCTGTCTGCTTTCTTTAAAACCCCTCCTTTCTTCTCTTTCCTTTTGCCTGAGAGTGAATTAGCTTTTTTTATGCTGCATATTTTGCTTATGAGGATGAGTAAGATTCATCCTTTGTAGATTCTCCTAATGTCTGGAATCATTCATGTTCTTTGCCATCTGCCTCAGACAAAGAAAAGGTGAAGCTGAGACCAAAAGAGAAAAAGCATCCATGAGTAGACAGCACTACTATATGTGATAAGGGTTTGTTATCTCTCAAACCAATTTGTTTCTACAAATGTTGGGTGTATTTCAGTTTTGTATATGCTTAACCATCAGTCACATAGTTCCAGAGAAGAACCAGAGAAGCTGCAAATGCTACTGTTTTTACCAGAGAGAGAATAATTAAATGTATTACTGTATTGAATAAACAATATCCAAGATGATCCAATATATTTAATAATATCCTCAAAGCTGGTGCTATCATCATCATCATCATCATCATCATCCATTTTGCATGGAAAGAAAAAAGATTACAGGTGACCAAAAACAACTGCCAAAGCCAGACCAAAACATGGAAGAAGAGAATAATTTATAACACTCCAGCACAGACCAAGGTGAAGAGAAAAAATTCCTTTCACCATAACTTAATAAAATTTCTTAATAAGAATGTAAGAATGTAACATAATAATACAGCATTATACAGTGCTATGTAAATACAATAATGTAATTGCCTTACACTGATTGAGACCATTTATACATATAGCTCACTATCTCTCCTTAATGATTTGCAGTGATCTTCATTTTTTAAAAAATACTTTCAAACGAGTTTCCCCATCCCGGCCCAGAATCTCAGGTGGTTTATGCCAAGCATGTACTCTGCATAAGCTGCAGGCCCTTTTTGGGGATGTTACAATTTTGAAGAAAGAAAAATATTAAGCTTACACAATGATGAATCTCCCTCTTTCTACAAAATCCAATCTCTGATCACTTCATAGCTAACTGATTATCTGTAACCTAGATGTAGATACATTTTTTCCTTTTATAACAATAAGATTAAAATTCTTACCTAATAGAATTATGTGGCCTATTTTCTACTTTCATCAGAATTTGTATGTTTGACTGGGGAGACATTGTGTAGATTTTTAATCTGTAATAAAAATGTAACGTTTAAGAAATCTTATCACATAACAAGAAATACCGAAACGTTTAAAAAAATCTGTTGTAACAGAATCCAACTGGAAAAATTACAATCTACACAATATATTGTAGTAATATAGTTACATAATATTTAAATATTTTGTAAAAGGTGTACAGAATCCAACTGGAAAAATTACAATCTACACAATATATTGTAGTAATATAGTTACATAATATTTAAATATTTTGTAAAAGGTGTACAGAATCCAACTGGAAAAATTACAATCTACACAATATATTGTAGTAATATAGTTACATAATATTTAAATATTTTGTAAAAGGTGTACAGAATCCAACTGGAAAAATTACAATCTACACAATATATTGTAGTAATATAGTTACATAATATTTAAATATTTTGTAAAAGGTGTACAGAATCCAACTGGAAAAATTACAATCTACACAATATATTGTAGTAATATAGTTACATAATATTTAAATATTTTGTAAAAGGTGTACAGAATCCAACTGGAAAAATTACAATCTACACAATATATTGTAGTAATATAGTTACATAATAGAATATTTAAATATTTTGTAAAAGGTGTACCTTTGCTGCTTGATGGGATCAGATTCTTGAGGATCAATATATGTCTTCAAAATGTCACATAATGGTTTATCATCTGGCACTCTTTGTCCAGGAAGGCAAATTATCAGTGAACATATTTGTAAGAACAGACAAACCAGTTAGCATCACATTAATGTATGTAGCTTTATGATCTCCTCTGTTTCATCCATAAAAGGCTAAAACAGAGACACACACAAAGCATTTAAGAACTCATACTGAAGATACCAAAAAGCCCGTCCACTACATTTTTCCTGTTCTAATGATTTAGTCCAAACTGAAAGAATTCTTCCATTTCTTTAAATATATTTTAATGGTAGATCCATTTCCTGTTGTATATTCTTTTCTAGATAGGAAACTGAAGAGGGCTTGAGGGATGGTATTTACTAGGCTAAATATCAAGATAGAGTATAATGCAGGATACATCCATATAAAAAGTACTATGTGGAACAAGCCCTATATATCTATATAGATATATATAGTCCTATATATATATGTCTATATATATAAATCTCTCTCTCTCTCCACACACACGCACATACACACATACACACATATATATAAGTCCTTCACGGCTGAAGACCAGGTTATTTACAGGGCCGTCTCTCCCCAATTGTTTCTACCCATCCTATCCAATCTGGCAAGAAGGGTATGGTCCGGGTACCATCAGCTAGGGAGTGTTGGATGGCAGGGCCCAGAAGGAGAGTCTTTTCTGCCATGGCACCCTTCCCTTGGAACATCATTCCTCCTGAGATTAGATTGGCTCCATCCCTGTTGGCCTTTTGTAAGCCTTGAAAACTTGGCTTTGTGCTTGAGCCTGGGATCCTGGGCGTGGGCTAGACCCCATGTCTTGGTTACATGGGTGGAGTAGATTGTGCCCAGCTGCTATTTGTTTTTATTTTAGTTTTATATTATGTATTTTGTGTTTTGATTTGCTTTATTGTAAGCTGCCTAGAGTCACATAAAAGTGAGATGGGCGGCTATGAAAATTGAATGAATGAATGAATGAATGAATGAATGAATGAATGAATGTTCTCAATTAAAAAAAAGGTACCTAAATTGGTAACAAGACATGAACAACAGCTCAAAGCAAATATTTCAAGAGTTTTTTTTCCAGAAGGCTGCAAAACTAACTCTTTCCAAACAAAACCCAAATGTAATTGTAAAACATAATTCAGCAATTATTGAAATTAAATAATTTAATTACATAATTATTTAAACTTCACATGAAGTAGGTTTGCTGACAGATACGTCTGAATACCTTTGTTCTGTGAATTTAGCATGACCGTGAGGAAATAGGAGCTTCAAGTGCCAGTAGAACTTTTGTTCCCTGAAAAAAACAAACAAACCAGTACAGACCCTTAAAACTCTTTTTATTACAAATGCAATTGCTACTGCTGTATATAGAGAGAGTTCAAAATAGGTAAGAAGGAGAAGCAGCCTGTTCAGGACTTGTTCACTTGGGGAGGTATCAAAACTTGTAACTTCTTCCCACGTCAGATTTATTTACACAACCAAAATGTAATCTAACAGGCAGGAAAACCAAGTGCTACATCATGGCTCTAAGTACAAAGTTTCCTCTACTTTCTATATGGCTTAAACTTAACTCCTCTTTCCTGATATTTAAGAATTGATGTTTCTTTTTATATTCCTCATATAAACATGTATTATATTTTAAGAGTCCTGATATTAATAAATAAATGAAAACAAGACAGTGCTGTCAGTATAAAACTATTTTAATCTCTGGGTATTAAAACAACGTTCAGTAGAAGTCCTCAGGTCACAAACAGAAGCAGTGTAGATCAGTCTGTTCCTAGGTACAATGAAATACTATATCCATTATTGTTGGATGAAACAGCATAGTAATATGCTGTTTACTTAGAAATAAAGATGCATGTTTTGCTAGGATGAAAGAAAATAATTTACTTTATAAATTGCCGAAGCAGACTGGGAATATATTGTAAAAGAATGATTTTTGGAAGAAAGCAACTAGCATTTTTGGAGAGGAGGGAAGTTACCCCATGACCAGAATAAGAAATTGGTAGATATTAATAGAGGGTGACAAGGAAATAATACAGGGAAGCAAGAACTGCTAAGAGGTTCTAAAGTCTCTATTTCTTTTCTCCAAATACAATGTCAGAGTAGAATACAGGACTTGGACAGGATAAGCTGTATGTATGCTGAAGCTGTTCTCAAAAAGTGTGAAGTCTCTGTGAATATGATGTCATTTACATAACAGACAATTTACAACTAAATGCTGGAATTATTATATCTGTACTATAGGACCACAACAAGGTACTTCCTCAGACTGAAGTTTCTAGGAGCTAATTTAAGCAAATTATGAATTATGGTCACATAATCCTCACCAATCTTGTGATATTCGGATGTGCAAGATTTTAAGTTCCATGAACATCTAGGCAGAATGCAGACAGAGGGTTATGGAGTCAAGGTGCAATACTTCTGGATGCTGGAAAAGTTAGTCTGGCATATAGCTATTTTAAACGGCAGTGAATAGTCAGATTATTTATTTATTCACATAAATATGAAATAAAAATTCACTCTAGGGTATGGAGTACCGTCAGGGTTGCCTATTTGCCCTTAACAACTGTTTGAGGAAATTATGACCTTGCCAATCCCTTTCTACTGCATTGATTAGCAGTAATATAGGATTATGAACTTATCTTTTCAATTTCTGTTCTACTGACAAAATGTAGAAGCTGTTTGCAAACCTTATTTTATCTGTGCAGCACCTCTCACTACTCAAAAAAGCATAATTTATACTTCAGCTACTTTGATATGTAAGGGAAGCAAAATTTGTGCTGGGGCCAGATGTTCTATGGCATTTTATCATTTCTCTGCTATATTCATTTGCTAACACATCATCTTGCAATTCTTCTTTGTTGGCTGCTTATATTTAGATACATTGATATGCTTCTGAGAGTTTTCACTTGATGTTTTTATTCTACTGACGTACAGGTGAGCCTGTCTCCAGAAATACAAGGTATCTCGTTGTGTTACGCAAGTGTGCCACCAAAATTTAGAGCCACAATAACTAAATTTCAGCAACATATCCTTTCTTCAGAAAAACAAGGGTGGGAATAAAAGCATTAACTTCCTCCACCAAATAAAGACAACACAGGAAAAACAGAAAACATTTTTCACTTCCAAGAGAGTTATAAACCAGACATTAAATCAGGGATGAGAGGCTTGCAGCCCACCAGATGCTTTTTGCTTCCAGAATCATCTGGCTAATGATTGGTCATAACAAGAGCAGGGGTCTAATAATATGTGAAAGGCTTTACATTGCCTATATTTGATAACTAAATAAACTTATAACTTATAAACTAAGCTCTGGTTTATAGAATCATTGGAAGGTGAATGTTGATATCCTGTGGCTGTTTCATTTCTTTCTAGGGCTGTGTGGGACCATCAGTGAAACATCTGTGGATCTGCATGTACAGACAAGGCAGATGGAAAAAAACCTTCAGAGCAACTGCACCAACCCTTCCAGAAGATGCAGTGACTTCAATACTTGGAGGAGAGAGGTTTTGTTTGTGCTTCGCCATTTATGAAACTCCCTTTGGAATGTTTGTCTCACCCAGCTAATTTTTCTGCCCAGTGCCAGTCTCCCTTTCCCCTAGAAGAAATTCAGCATAATGAAAAAGGGAACTAAATGATTATTTACCCAGGAAATTTAATTAGCCCATTACAATCCACAAATTTAGCTGTTTTTCTTTTTAAAAGTAAGAATAATTATGAGATTCTTTAAGTAAAAGAAAAAGAGATGAAAGGTTTGGAAACTTTAACCGGACATAGAACAATCTATGTCAATTGTTGCATTCATATAGACAGCAGCTACGAAAGAGTTAAGCCAAATTAACTCTTAATTGTGAATGGGGTTATTTTTCTTAACTACTGATCAGTTGATGTAAGCATGAATCATAAGTTCACTGGACACAAGCCATTTACACGTTAAGCATCTTTCTTTAAGCCAATTCGATTATGTATTTTTCTGGAAGTCTATCCATGATGTTGCAAAAAGTACTACTGTGGTTCATTAAGGCAACAATGAAGCCATAGGAATTGGAAGTTATATTAACACTCAAACATAATTGTATATAAACTCATTCCTTAATTCTATTCAGAAGTAGGGCGTAAAAAAAAAAGAATGGCAACATTTTAAGTGACATAACTGAGTGTTCAGAAACTTGTTGCTGTTTATTTAAGGACTATTCTACAGAAGTCTGTGGATTCTACCACTGGAAACCAATAGGAAGGAGCAGCTAAGGGAGAAATAAGCAATGAGCAAAGTAGCTTCCACCCCAACTCCAATTCACTGAGACCTGATTAGCTTGCTTTTAAAAAAATTTGATCTTATGCTCTTCTAAGCCTCAGTAAATAACACTGATTTAGCCTCATCAAGTAATTATGGGTCATGTGAAACTGTCAAATCTCATTAAATATTTTTAATGACACTCCAATATCTGAAGTGCAAATATGACAGTTGAAATTTTAACACCATAATCATCACTGGAGGGGCCCCATATTAGCCTCATATGTGACTGGGTGGTCTGTGTTTTTGGGCACTTTTTACTAAATGTCTGACATATTGTGAAATGTCTGCAAACGAAAAATCAAGTTCAGAGAACTACAACCGAGCATTCCATTCCTGCATTACATATATTCACTACGATCTAAAATATGAGCTCTATGATTACTATGGCTAGATAAATGGGAAGCTTGAGAATGAGGTTTAGTGAGTGTTGAGTGGGAAGATGATGGGAGGGGCTATTGATCACCTGGGTCCAAGCCTGCTTACTTTCCACCATGCCCCAATCAAGGCAATATTCATACTACTCCTACAGCAAATTCCCTCCCATTGTGAATAGTGGAAATTACTATTAAAATGGTTCACAGAAACAAATCTCTCTTCAGCATGACCTGTCTCCTGCTAGCATGTTGCTAGCAAGACACTGGATTTGGCAAGTTTTCCTAAATTGTAAAGTTCTGATGAGGAGTACTAGATTATTCTCTCAATCTGTTTTTGGGAAGAGAAGATGGGAATAATGGTTCAAATTGTACATAAAAACAGATATGATTCCTGAATGGATCTAGTAAGCCTATACAACATTCTGGTATAATTAGAAATAAATCAGATTTTTAGCAATCTACGCTATTATCTTAAGAGCTAATCAGCCATTTTTTTCTCCCAACACAGCATCTGAAACAGGTATTTAAAGATTTTAAGTCACATAGATCATTGTATACGCAAAACTTTTGTAAGTGATTATCTTATTGCTACAATGATATGTATTCACTCACTGAAACTGGGTCAGAACTGAAAGCTATATGAGCTTTGTTGCTGAAAACAGGAGATAGATCAATGCATTTCTATAAGAATATTTACAAAATGTTTTGCAAATTTTAATGTGACACTATTTTGATCACTAAAGTTGGGATTTTTTTGCAAGTTTTTGTGATATTCATACTTAAATATGAATATTTCTACTTAACAGTTCCGAAAGCATACACTGAACACAGAAGCAATTATATGGGCTAGCATGCTAATTTCTTCTTGCAAACGTGTTAATACGGAATAATCTATGTGCTAAATTAGTCTTTGAAACAAAGAGCCTTGTGCATTAGCTTTTGTGGATCAGTGGCTACTTCATCCACTGAAAGAAGAACAGTAATTTAAAAAGTCTGTGCTATGGAGACAGACTATAGTGTTTGTGTATAAATATAGATACAATTTATAGATAAACAAATATATCTCTGTCTCTATTGTTACATAAAAGCTCCTGTCTATCTATCTATCTATGTAAAAAAAATCACATCTATAATCCGTGAAACCAATGAAGTGGATTAGCATCTCCTAGTTGATGGTTGAAAAATGTGTCTTTTCCATCACTCTTTGTAATAATGATAGAAGGCTTCTCATATCATTCTGTTAATATTTTTTGATATATTGATTGTAAGGTCAAATGCATACACATACATATATCTATTAAGAAAAAGCCCAGAAATATAAATCAGTCAGAGGGCAACTTTATTCAGAATCATGAAAAGCCATCAGAACCATATAGATCAACGGGGAAAACAGTTCAAAAGTTACAGCTGGGTAATGCTTTTATGAGGCTGAATCAAGAAGACACCCTTTCAGACTTGTGTTGTGATGTTGTGCACCAAGCAGGTAAGCAGCAGAATATATATCATGACATTGCTCTGAATTTCATCATGTGGCTTCCCTCAGGATACTTACGTATGAAAGCCTGATTCAGAATGAGGAATTTTGCTGAACTAACATCAAGCTAATAATAGCTAGAGACTTACTTATTGCTATAGAATGTAGAATTCTCTCGTCTCTTTGTGAATCCAATTGGTAAAGTTTGTAAGCAGATCTTGTGCCTTCGAGCTCGGTTTCTCAGAAAGTTTACCTGATGGAAGATGCAAGTTTTCAAATGAAAAGCATAAGAATTACTTTAAAATGTGAATTACTTTAAAGAACTACTTTGTGAAATTGTGGTTTAGCACTGCTATAGCAAACTTCACATGATCACGCTCCAGGGAGTTTTTGAGGACTGGAATCTTTTGCTTTCATTTAATTTGTCACAATATCTGAATCTTGTTTCAACACACCATGGTAAAGATTTAGGTTTCGGTCATTAAATTTCAGTCATCTCCCATTGGGGGGAGATGGGTGGTTGAAAAATTTAATTAATTAATTAATTAATTAATTAAATCAGAAGAAACTTCTAACCTCCCCATGGCCCCACTAGAAAACTAGGAGTGTAAAATTTGAAGTTTGTTACAAGCTCATTTTTCTAACAGTAAACCATAAATGAATGTTATGTTGAAAGCAGATGCATCAATGTTTCACAGAATAGATGAGAGGTACAAACCATTTCTATATGAGGACCTAAGGCTTTGCATTTAAGAATATGTTGGGCTTAATAACCACAGGTTAACATGACTGGAAATATAACCAGCAACAACAATTCTCACAGTATTCTAGAACTGACTGCTCAAAAATGATTGAATTTACTTGGAATATATTGCATCAATTTTTATCTCAGTAACAGGGCTGTGCAAATCCTTTGGAAGAAGTGCTTCAGAAGAAACAGGGATGTGTACGCAATAGTTTTTTGTCCAAACCACTCAAGAAGGAACATCATTTGGCATGGGGGTTTCAACAGCTTCTCCCAGCTGTCTCTGCATGTGTGTGTCTGCACAGCCATTTCACAATAATAGGAAGCAGCTTCCAAAGCAGCTGCGCAAGCCTGGAAAAAGAAGTGGTTGCTTTAATGAGCCAAAAAGAAGTGCTTTATATGTGCTCCCACGTGTTCTGAAGCAACTCTTTCAAAGGGTTTGCATAACTCTACTCAGTAAGATATAACCCCCCTCCAAATTTTAGTTAAAACTATCACTTAAGATCTTATTTATTTATGCCTTAATTTAATTTTTAAGTGGGATACTTCAAGAAGGCATTGACTGTTCTGTAAAAATGATTGTGCCATCAAAAGCATACATTTCAGCAACGTTGACATTAGATGAAAAATCAGAACTTAAATTGTGCAATAACATTCCATGAAATTATATGAGATCTAAGTTTGTATACTGATATTCAATATCACAAATGATAGCCTTTTAATCTCAACAGGTATCTGCAAGTGATCCCTTTATATCAATGTTTCTCAACCTTAGCAACTTTAAGATGTGTGGACCAACTCCCAGAATTCCCCAGCCACTGCTGGCTGGGGAATTCTGGGAGTTGAAGTCCATGCATCTTAAAGTTGCTAAGGTTGAGAAACACTGCTCTATATAAAGATCTTCAATGTCACACTTAAATCTGATTCTTGTGTATAAAAATGAATCTCAGATTTCTTACAGTAAACTCACAGATATCAAGAACAAGCTATTTTGTTCATCTGAATTGGGAAACTTGAGAACATGCTGTGGGCCTTTTCACAAAATGGCTCTCCTA